ACACGAGAAGTCATTCTTCCGCTCTACTCTGCGCTGGTTAGGCCTCAATTGGAGTATTGTGTTCAGTTCTGGGCGCTGCATTTCAAGAAAGATGTGGAGAAATTGTAGAGGTTCCAGAGAAGAGCAACGAGAATGATTAAAGGTCTAGAGAACATGACCTGTGAGGGAAGGCTGAAGGAATTGAGTTTGTTTAGTTTAGAAAAGAGAAGATTGAGGGAGGACATGATAGCAGTTTTCAGGTATCTAAAAGGGTGTCATAAGGAGGAGAGAGAAAACTTGTTCATCTTGGCCTCTGAGGTTTGGACAAGAAGCAATGGGCTTAAACTGCAACAAGGGAGGTTTAGGGTTGGACATTAGGAAAAAGTTCCTAACTGTCAGGGTAGTCAAACAGTGGAATAAATTGCCCAGGGAGGTTGTGGAATCTCCATCTCTGGAGATATTTAAGAGTAGGTTAGATAAATGTCTATCAGGGATGGTCTAGACAGTATTTGGTCCTGCCATGAGGGCAGGGGACTGGGCTCGATGACCTCTCGAGGTCCCTTCCAGTCCTAGTATTCTATGATTCTGTGACTTACTGATTGTAGTTTGTGATACTCACAAATCTTAAAAATTGGCTTAGTTTTATGGAAGGCTTTGCTGAAGTCTGTAAGCATTTCAAGTGAACCTATGCTCGCTTGCTAGTGATTTAGGGAAGATTTACGAATGCCCATGAAGGCAGACTGAAGGCATGGAGTTTCACACAGCTCTAATAATAACATTATGGCTGTGTCTACACTAGCATGAATTCCCGGAACTGCTTAAAACGGAATACTATTCTGTTTTCAGTTTTTCCGGAAAAGGAGCGTCTACATTGGCAGGCTGCTTTTCCGGAAAAGCCCTTTTTCCGGAAAAGCGTCTGTGGCCAATGTAGACGTGCTTTTCCGGAAAAAAGCCCCGATCGCCATTTTCGCGATCGGGGCTTTTTTCCGGAAAAGACTACTGGGCTGTCTACACTGGCCCTTTTCCGGAACAGTGTTCCAGATTAAGGACTTATGCCCGAGCGGGAGCAGAATAGTTTTTCCGGAATAGCAGCTGATTTTGTACAGTAGAGCATCGTTGCTTTTCCGGAAATTCAAGGGCCAGTGTAGACAGCTCGCAGCTTATTCCGGAAAAGCGGCTGATTTTCTGGAATAAGTGGCCCAGTGTAGACACAGCCTATGAGTCTGGTAGTGATCTTGCTTACACCAATGTAAAATAATCGATATTGCTTCTATGGAGAAACATAGGTAAAATATGAGAATCATGCTCTACAAATTTAATAAACTTGGGCTGCCAAGTCAACTTTAATTTCCTGTTTGGAAGGATTAGGATAGAGTCACCAAAGAACAAATACTATTTAATATGTTTCTTTTCTGTTTGCTATAAAGCCTTGTTTGCATATTCTCACTGCTGCACAAGTGCCCACTGAGCCAGTATTAAAAAAGGTTCTATTGCTGGCATAGACAAAATAAAACAATTTTCAAAGGCATTATAGAAAGAGTGGTTGAACTTCGGAACTCCAAATTGGATTGGGACCCTTTCCTCAATCACATTCTCTCTAATGACGCTAAAAACATTTGTGGCTTCTCTACATTATCAGGTAAACAGGGTTCAAGATCATTGCAGCGAGAAATGGCTACTTACAGACATTTACGCCTGGAGGAATTCTGCACTGAAAAATTAAAAATTAAAAATTCTGCACACATTTTGAAATTCTGCACAATTCTGCATATTGTATTTGCCAAAGTAACAAAATATAATCATGCCAGTTTCAATTATTTTGGTAATTTATTTAAAAAATACCCATCTGCACAAACGTCTGTAACAATACAGAAAGCAAAACAAAAAATTCTCCCAGGAATAGAGAGTTAGAGAGAAACATCTGCATCCACGTGGATCCTCACTGCAAGATCAAGGTATAAATTACCCTAAAGTAGGAGATGGGGAGGAAGGCAGAAAGCAGATTAGTCAGTTGAGAGTGTGCATTAGCTTAGTGGGGTCTATCCCTGGTCTCTTCCAAGGGA